ACAATATTAATTAAAATTAAAAAAAAATTAAAATGGGCCTGTAGTAAAAGAAATTTAGGGGGGGGGGGGTTAAAAAGAAAAAACTCCAGGCCTAATAACAAGAGAGCCCAGGCGCCATTTGATATCCAGTGGAGGAGATCCATGAGGGCTCATGGTGAAGGCGCTGATCTGGAGCGTGGGATCTGATTGTATGATGATTTGATGGTGTTGATGAGGCAGGGATCGAACTCCCTGCCCTAACACACCAACTCCTTACACACACACACACTTGCCACTGGGGTGGCTGTTTCATCTGGTTATGAAATAACACCCAATAAATATATAATAAACTTGTTTACAAAAATTGGAAGATGAACTTCATCTTCTTCCTCGCTCCAGCAACATTAACAACATTGTTCAAATTTCTAACTCCTTCAATTCTCAATCATTTTAAAAAATGTAAACATGAAAGTTGTTCTAAATTTCACCACGAATTCAGCCATGTAACTTTTGAAAGCTATAAGTTAAAGGCTGAAATGAATTTTACTTGGTACCAAACTGAAACCTAATATTACAGAAAATTCAATTCCAAAATTCTCATCACACAGTCAATATAAATGAAAACTAAGGACATGGTTAGTTTCTGGGCAATCATATCTAAATTTTATCTTTTGAAATTGAAAGCAAATGATGTGTTTGTAAGGATTTCAAAGTCGAAGAAACTTACCTCTTAAAGTGAAAACCCATAACGCGTATGGAGGCTTCCCGGTGCAAGTAAATCATTGATTACGCTTCATTGGACCTCCCTGAAGTTGTCCCAATCCTTACTTTATGCTGAAAGTGTATGAATCTCTTCAACCAAGTCAATGTGCAAGCTTCGAATATGGGGTTTAGAGGACGATGAAGATGGTGTTACAGAAGTGTAACAGGTGTTTGGATGTGTTATATGTGATGTATGTAAGGTGTATGGATGATAAAAAAATACAAACGCACGAGTGGATTTGAAGTTGGGTGTTGGAAGCTTCAAATGTGCAACAATGGAGTTTTCTAAGTGATTCTGAGTTTGAGAGTGTTTTAGGGCTTATCCATTCATCCTTTTGCTTGCAAAAGGACTCTCTATTTATAGAGAAAATGTTTGAGGGCAAGGGCTGATCAGGTTTGCAAGTTATCAAGTTTTGGCTTGGTTGAGATGTAACTTGTGATTTCTTGAGAAATCAAAGTTCCAATGCATAGTACCATGGCTCATAGAGTGGTTAGGATATGTAGACATGTTGCTTATTGCTTTGACATTATTTGTGTGCAGAAGAAACAGTTGAGAGGCTCAAGGAGAGTGTACTTTGCATAAAGCATGCTTTACGTGAATGGTAATGGTGCCTTTGTGCCATAAATGGAAAATTATCTTGGACAATGGCTCAAACACTTGGGTAATGGTTCAATAAATTGTGTAAACACTTAATTATGGGGATATTTGAAAGTTAATGGACCTGAAAAGTGATATCTCTAAGCATGGCATGATAATTGGTTATGAACTTGTCACAAAAATGACCTATAATGCAACTTTAGATACCCAACTTCATATCTTCGAAACTTCTAGCTCAAGCATGATAAATTTGTGTTCTTGGACATTTTGGAAAGCTTGAAATATTGTCTACAACTTTCATGTTGACCAATTTGGCTAAATCAAATGGGAACTTGGTGGAAATTGGCCAAGAACTTAGGATAAAAAACTGATCAAAACTTGTTTGAAAAAAATTCGAAGTGTTGGATAAAAACATCATAACTTCATGGGCTTATATCTCTTAAATTAAGCACTTTTTGAGGATTACCCCGTAATATCAAAGTTATAGAATTCATAAATCCCTACAACTTTCATGTTGAAAGTTTTCCTTGAATCAACTTGTATCTTGAGGATACTTGCTTGTGAAGTTAGGGTTTTTTAGGTACAAAACACTTGAATTTTTTCAAAGTGTTTGAAAATCTTGACTTTTGACTTTTGTTGACTTTCTGGATTCTTGATGATCAAGTTTGATATTTTTGAATATCTTGATGGTTCTTATTTTTGAATTCTAATGTTGACCAAAAAGTCAAAGTTTGACTTTTGTGTGACTGTTGACTTTTCATCAATTGATTCAATTATTCAACTATCAATCACTTGTATCTTTGGAAATGTATTGATCCATGTAATTAGGTCAAGATGTTGTATTTGAGCTCTTGAGATCATGCTTCAAGCCATTAGGTTATGCACTAGGCCAAAAGTCAATGATCAGTCATCCTTAATCAAAACCCTAATTTGGCAATTTTTTACCTTTGATGATTTGAGGGCTTTTCTTGAGGAATCATGATCAACCCTTGACCAAATGATGAATATCACTTAAAAATTTTGATCTTGACCAAAAATCTTGAAGTTTGACTGTATGTTGGCCATAATTGACTTTTTGTCCAATACAGTTGATTTTCAGTCATCTGAGCCATTAACTGAGCAAACATGTGATGCAATACTTGAGACTTGACATAATCATTATTGAGGACCTATGATGAACCATGAAAGTCGTTTGAAACCATTTAAACCCAATATTCTTTGAGAAGCACCAAACCCTAATTGAAGACCCTTGCTTAGGAGGAGATTTGACCAGTCAACTCTTGAGTATCTTTGAGTATTTGAGATCTTAGAAGAATGCCTTAAAGAAAATGGGAGGAAAAATTTCGGGGTACAACAGATACCAAATGAGCTTCCACCCATAAGAGAATTTTAGCATCATATTGATCTCATTTCGAGAGCATCTTTTCCTAGTAGGCCAACTTACCTAAGCATTCCACAACAAACTCATGAGATTCAAAAGCAAATTTTTGAATTGGCAAGTAAAGAATGGGTAAGAGAAAGTCTAAGTCCTTGTGTTGGTCCTATTATTTTAGTTCTAAAAAATGTGGTAGTTGGAGAATATGAACTGATTGTAGAGCTATTTACAACATTACCATAAAATATATACATTCAATTCCTAGGTTAGATGACTTGCTTGATGGATTGTTTGGTGCATGTCTATTTTCTAAAATTGATTTGAAAATTGGGTATCATCAAATAAGAGTTAGGGAAGAGGGTGAATGGAAAACAACTTTTAAAACTAAATATGGTTTATATGAGTGGATGGTTATGCCTTTTGATTTAACTAATGCACCTAGTAATTTCATGAGAATAATGAATCATATTTTGAGGGAATTTTTGGAAAAATCTATTGTTTATTTTAATGATATATTAATATATATATATAGATAAAATTTAAAAGACCATTGTGAACATTTAAGGATTGTTTTGGAAGTGTTAATACAAGAACATTTATTTTCAAATTTGGAAAAATGTGTCTTTTGCACGGATCATATTATTTTTCTAGGTTTTATTGTAAGCTCGAAAGGAATTCATGTGGATGAAGAAAATGTGAGAGCAATCAAGGATTGGCTGCCACCTAAAAATGCAAGTGAGTTAATATGTTTTCATGGTTTAACAATTTTCTATAGTAGGTTTGTGAAACATTTTAGCACCATTGTTGCTCCTCTTAATGAAATTGTTAAAAAAGAATGTTATTTTTAAATGGGCCGAAAAACAAGAGCAAGTGTTTGCTGCACTTAAAGAAAAACTCACCAAAGTACCAATTTTAGCATTACCAAATTTTTCTATATCTTTTAAAATTGAGTGTGATGCTTCTAATGTTGGAATTGGGGCTATTTTGATGCAAGAAGGGCATCCAATTGCGTATTTTAGTTAGAAATTAAAAGGGATTGTCCTTAATACTCTACTTATGATAAGGAATTGTATACCTTATTTAGAGCATTGCAAACTTGGGAACATTATCTTTTGCACAAAGAATTTGTCATTCATAGTGACCATGAATATTTGAAACATTTAAAAGGGCAAGGTAAGTTGAACAAGAGGCGTGATAAATGGGTTGAATTTCTTGAACAATTTTCATATGTGATCAAGTATAAAAAAATGTAGTTGCAGATACGTTATCTAGAAGATCTGCTTTGCTTTCTACTCTTGAAACAAAAGTTTTTGGTCTGCCCAAATGTTCCATTAATGGATATTTTAGGCACAATGGTTATTTGTTTAAAGAAAAAAATACTATGTCTGCCCAAATGTTCTATTAGAGATTTACTTTTAAGAGAGGCATGTGAAGGGGGTTTAATGGGTCATTTTGGGCTTGTCAAAACCTTAGAGTTATGGCAATAAAATTTTCATTGGCCCCACATGAAAAGTGATGTTCGAAATTTTTGTGAAAGGTGCATTGTGTGTAAAAAGGATAAATCAAAGTTTTTGCCTCATGGTCTTTATACACCTTTGCCTACCCCTGATTCTACTTGGATTAACATTTCCATGGACTTTGTTTTGGTTTTACCCTGAACAAAGAATGGGCAAGGATTATATTTTTGTTATCGTTGAAAGGTTCTCAAAGATAGCACATTTTATTGCATGCAAAAAGTTGGATGTTGCAAGTCATGTGGAAAATATATTTTTCAAGGAAGTGGTGTGCCTTCATGGTCTTCTAATAAGCATAGTTTCAGATTGTGACACCAAATTTCTTAGTCATTTTTGAAGGACTTTGTAATGTATGATATGAACAAAGTTTCTTTTCGCTACAACTTATCATCCATAAACAGATGGAAAAACTGAGGTAGTGAATAAAACTCTTTCTACTTTTCTTATGAATATTCTTAAAAAGAAGTTGAGAATGTGGGATGAATGTTTACCACATGTTGAGTTTGCTTATAATCGTGTGGTGCATAATACTACACAATTTTCTTCTTTTTAAATTGTGTGTGGTTTTAATCTACTAACCCCTCTTGATTAATTACAGTTTCCTAACACTTCTCTTTTGAAGCATAAAGATGGAAAACCTAAGGCCAAATTTGTGAAGAAATTTCATGAGAAAGTGCAATTACAAATTGAGAAAAAATAAAGTTATGCTAAGCATGCCACCAAAGGGAGGAAAAGATTGGTTTTTGAACCCGGTGATTGGGTTTGGGTACATATGAGGAAAAAGAGATTTCCTACTCAAAGGAAATCAAAACTTAAACCAAGGGGTGATGGACATTTCCAAGTTCTTGAAAGGATAAATGAAAATGCTTACAAACTTGATCTACCCGATGAATATAATGTAAGTGATATCTTTAATGTAGTTTATTATCTCCTTTTGATGTAGGTGAAATAGATTTCAATTCAAGGTCGAATTCTCTTTAAGAGAGAGGGGATGATGAAGACATATTATCAAGGATGCTACTAAAGAAATTCAAGGACTAAGAGACCAATGACAAGGGCACGTGCCAAGACAGCTAAAGAGGTCTTAAAACAAATAGTGACAACCATCATAGAAGTAAGACCAAAATTAGAAGGTGTGATATGGTGGCAGAACCGACTGTTAATATTGGTTTGTGTTGTTGTATTCATAAATGTAACGGTAAGCAAGAGTCGCCATCGTCTTTTCTTTTATCCAACAAGGAAAGGGTGAAAAGAATAGAAAAAGACCTTTTTCGAGTTTCTGAGTAAGGGGGGTAGATTATGGAAAGGGAAGGTGTTAGCACCCTTTCCATCCATGGTTTTCCATGGGCTCTTAGGTACTTGCTCACTTTTGAAATTGCTTTCGTGTTTGTGTGAAAAGTTTTTATTTGAAAATGCCTTAGTGAGGCAATTCACTTTATGGTAAATCTTGTATCAGTCCTCAAGAATGTGATAAAGTGTTTTGAAAACTTTGTTCGAAAAAGTGTTTGAAAGTGTGGTGTGAAAATTTGTTTGAGCAAGTACCTAACAGTTATCTACCTACTCGAAAAAGACTGTTCTTTTCCTCTTATCATTTAGACTGTGTTATCCTACTATTAATGAGTAGGTAACCCTAGTCGTTGGATATTGAGGGATGTAATGGTCATTGAAGGCAACATGTAAGGATATCTTAGCATTTCGAAGGGACTATCATCATAAGATCATTTCTCGTAGGTAACTCGAGGGATATTTAGGGACTATGATCTTAATGATGACTTTAAACTGAGGGTCTTTTCTAAGAGTATCCCTACGTTCGAGGGACATGACCATTGTTTCAGAGGAAACCAAGTGAGAACCCTAAGGGTGCAAGTGTGCAATAGTGTGCTTTTTTCAGATATTTTTATCTTCCAGTTTAGTGATTTACTGATTGATTGATTAAGCATACATGCCTAGGTTGCTGGCAATTATATACAAGCATATAAAATATAAAAACAAGAAATAGAGGTCATACGCTATTACAAGGCTTTGGTGTAGATACATAAATAATTACTAATAAAAATAAAGTGCGGAAATAAAATCCTAATTAAGCTATTACAAACCGGGCACAGTTACATAATTAACAAAATAATGCTAAAGTAAATAAACACGCACATGAATTGAAAATACGTCTAAAATCCTAAGTGAAAGGAATTTTTGTTTGTTTTTTATTATGAAAAGAAATTGAATTAAAAAAAAATCCTAAGTCTATTCAATTTTAGTTTTTTAAGAAAATATTAAAATAGTTAATTAATTAATTGACAAAATTAATTTAATGTAAAAAGCTAAGCCTAATATTTTTATGGTTTTTTATTGTTAATTAAAGTTTAGAAGAAGTAAAGACAAACAGCCAAAAGAAAGGGAAACAAAATCGAACGACCACCAGACAGGAAATGAAAAGAAAGCGTTCTAGGAAGCAAGGCCTGGATCGAAGAGGCTTGGGTTGTCTTTCGATCCATAGGGCTGATCGAAGACCTCATTCGAGGGTCTTGGGGGTGCTATATCTGCAAGCAAATTCGTTAGAAATTGAAACTGTAAGGCTTAGATCGAAGAAGCTTGGGAGAATGCATGTCTGGGGCATTTGATCTGGATGTGACATCCTTCGATCCGGGATACTGGACCTGCAAGGAAATTCGTTAGAAATTGAAAATGCAAGGCCTGGGCTCGAACCCTGGTCCCTTCGATTGCACGCATTCCCTTTCACCACCTGAGCTGCTTGCTCATTCGAAGGGCATGACACCTGCTTTTGGTCCTGCCAATTAGTCAATTCTAAACTAAACAACACAGAAAAGCATCTCATTCAAAATCAATTCTTGAACCCGGATATGGGTTGGTTTCGATTTGTCACAGCTAGGATCATGTATTTGAAACATAACCATCTTCGAAATAAACTCTATCCATGGGGGTTCAAACGTATGAACACTGCAACTTGCATACACTTTGTTAAATCGTTCACAAATAATAACAAAAGCTATGAATATGCAATCATGAGTCTAATTCAAGATTTAAGTGGGATCAAATATTTTTACCACTGGAGGCACCTGGATCTGCAGTCCTGGGCGTGAGATGGCTGGGGCACGAACGAGTGTATGCCTGTGTGAATTCCAAGAACTTGATCGGAGTGTCAACCTGGACGAAATGTGCCTGCAATGGGGTTTTGGCACTTGATGCTATCTTCTGGACTTTCGTGGGGCAGTCTCCGTGAGTTTTCGTCTGGCCTTTTTTGGTAGCTGTTGCGCATGTATTCCCATGTATCCGTCCCCTTTTTTCGTGTGAGGTCATGAGGTTTATATATACAAATGAATTAGGTCAATATTTGTGTATCAAATCTTGGCCCATTATGATGAAGAGATTTGATTTGATTTCTTCATAAAGACTTGCTATATTTTATTCAATCAAGTGTTAATCTATTTTCATACGTTACTGCCAGTCTGTTATGAGTTGTTTGGGCCTCCAACATGATGAAAATCGAACGCTGACCTGCCCCTGTAGATCCACTTCCCTTTGAATTTTCTCTCTTCGATAGCTCTAAGCTCCAATTCGAATTAATCCAGCTTTGATTGCGTAGCCCCTTTGATTGAGCCTCCCTCTGCTTCGATTGCTTGATTCGAAAAGAATCCCCTGTTCGAATCAGCTCTTGCGGAGTTGTAAACAAACAAGGCAAGAATCTGGCCTGGACAGTTTAGTGTTAGAACATAATTTGGTTCTACATCCCAGCAAGAGTTTTGATGATAATAAACACATGATATAAAGAACAAATATGCTCACTAATAAAAAGTATCTTTACATGCAGGATGTTCTGATGTTAAAAAGATGTTCTGATGCAACTAGAATTTCTACCAGAACATCACCAGAAGTTCTGATTATGCAAGCACAGAAGTTGAGAGGATAATGAAAGATTCAGACGCATCAAATATGAATGACACACTTATATGAAGAATTTCTGATTGAACTTCTTAATGCACTAGCGCTGCGAAACAGAATCTCTGATACTCTGATGTGCAAAATTCTGATCAAGTTGTAAAGAACTCTCAACAGTAATATTCATCCTCTAATGTGAGAAGCTCTAAAGGGTTACAATTCCATCAATGCAGGATCATAAGTAACGGCTTTAAATAGACAAGGATCTCCTGTTTTGAAAAGCTCATTAACTCGTGTTATGGACTTACCAAAAGTATCTTCTTATGTCTCTATTGCAAGGCCTATATAAAGCAGACTAGAAGAAGATTTCAAAATAATGAACAACTGCGCTCATAAAGAAAAACTCACGTGAAAAAGTAAAAAACGCAGCTTTCATTCTTCATCTTCAAAGATTCAATATTAAATTGTGTAATACATCACAAGTTTGTGATATTGTTTATTTAGAAACATCATTGTACACTTTTATTCAATTAATTGTTTAGTGAAATTCCTTGAGAAAATTGGGTTGTGGTTTTGGACTCAAGAAAACTTTAACAGTTGTTAAAGTAGAATTATAATCAGGTTGATTAGTGAATTAAGTCCTCGTTGGAGAGAGGCGAAATCACCTTGGCGGGTGGACTGGAGTAGTTTAATATCAAACGAACTAGGATAAAAATAAACGTGTTCCTTACTCCATTGTTTTTTTAGTTTAAATTCACCCCCCCCCCCCCCCCTTTCTTGTGTTTTTCACTTCTTCAATTGGTATCAGAGCACCTCCAAGGGGGAAAACACTATGATAGGAACAAGTTAGAACATCAACAGCAGCCCTCCAATATTTGATGGTGAAAATTTTGACTACTGGAAGGATATGATCAAAAGTTTCTTCCTAGCCTATGACGCTGACCTCTGGGATGTGGTAATTGATGGATACATACATCCTGTTGATGAAAACGGTCAGAAGATTGACAGAAAAAGGATGACAGATCATCAAAAGCAAGACTTCAGAAATCATTACAAGGCCAGAACGATTCTCTTGAGTGTCATCTCATATTTAGAGTATGAGAAGATCACAAACAGAGAAATAGCTAAGAACATGTTTGATTCTCTAAGAATGACGCATGAAGGAAACATGCAAGTAAAAGAAACCAAAGCCCTTGTGCTCATTCAGAAGTATGAAGCCTTCGAAATGGAAGAAGACGAAACCTTTGAAACAATGTTATCTAGATTCCAAAATCTGGTGGCAGGGTTAAAGGTGTTGGACAAAGGGTACTCAACTGCTGATCATGTAAAGAAGATCATCAGAAGTTTACCAAAATAATGGAGACCAATGGTCACGGCTCTCAAACTGGAAAAAGATCTGAATATAATATCTCTAGAAGAACTTGTCAGCTCCCTCAGAAGCCATGAGATAGAGTTAGAAGATGATGATCCTCAGAAGCAATGTAAGTCTCTCGCTCTGAAATCTAACAAATATGAAACCAAAATTTTGCAGGCAGAAGCAGAAGCAGAAAACTCTGGAGAATCCTCGTCAGAAGAAGACGAACTATTCTTTCTAACCAGAAGAATCAATCAACTGTGGAAGCACAGGAAAAATAATTTCAGAAACTCCAGAAGAATAGGAAATGACTCTGAACAATCCTCTGGATACAGAAAATAAAGTAACAGAATCAATACCTGCTATGAATGCAATAAACAAGGTCACTACAAAAGTGATTGTCCAAGGCTTTAGAAGGAGAAACATAAAAGGAAGTTCGTTAAGGAGAAGAAGAAAAGTCTTATGGAAACATGGGATGACTCTGAATCTTTTGAAGATGGAACATAATCAGAAGATGAAAAACCAAATATAGCTCAAACGGATAACTTATTAGATGTCTCCGAATCTTCTGAATCAGAATCAGGTTCAGAATCAGAATTAGACGCTGAAGAGGTATTTCCTGACTTTCATGTTAATTTTACTAAAGCTGAACTAGGAGAAAGTCTGAGTGAAATTTTGGAAAGGTATCAGCAGCTCAGAGTCAAATTCAAGAACCTGAAAAAGGATCTTACTTCTGAATCTGAAGAAACAGAGAGTCTGAGATTAGAAAACTCTGAGTTAAAAGAAAATATTTCAAAACTAGAAAATGATTTACAAAACTCTCAGAAGTAAATAATCTCAAAGGATCCCAGTAATGCTGATAAGATCATAAAGGAATATGATCAAAGCTTTCAAAAGTTTATGGCTAAAAACATAGATAGAAGCAAAATGCCTTCAATGATCTATGGAGTTAACAGGAATGGCAGAATAGGTATAGGATACAAAGGCAAAGTATCCCAACCTAAGAAAGTTAATGATCTGATTATCAAGCGCACTCCTCTCTATTCTCACTTCACCACTGGGCAACTCATGATATAAAACATGTTGGTAAGGAGTTTTATACTAAACCAAAATTCAAACAGAATTTTGGAAACTCTAACAGTCATGGACCCAGAAAGATATGGGTACCAAAAGACAAAATCATCTATGTTGTAGATATTTTTAACAGCAAGGTTGAAACTCCAGTATTAACACCTGGACTCTGGATGCTCTCTACACATGGAGGAAAGAAAGCATATGTTCCAAAACCTGGAATTTAAAGGACTCGCAGATTTCAAAGGCATTCAGAAACAAAAGAGCAGATGTCACACCTTTTCAAGCAATTTCTGTCAGAGCAAGCCAAACATAGTCTTTTCCACTTTTTGATTCTCGACAAAAATGGGGAGAATGAAGAATATTTTGAATCATAATCAGAAGATCTTCAGGGAAGTATTTTATTTTCTCGTTAGCTGAGTACTCTACTCAGGGGGAGCCTTCCTTTTAATTTTTGTTCTTTATATTTCATCAAAATATACCAGTTTTTGTCATCATCAAAAAGGGGAAGATTGTTAGAACATAATTTGGTTCTACATCCCAGCAAGAGTTTTGATGATAACAAACAGATGATATAAAGAAAAAATATGCTCGCTAATAAAAAGTATCTTTACATGCAGGATGTTCTGATGTTAAAAAGATGTTCTGATGCAACTAGAAGTTCTGATTATCCGAGCACAGAAGTTGAGAGGACAATGAAAGATTTAGACGCATCAAATATGAATGACACGCTTATATAAAGAAGTTCTTATTGAACTTCTGAATGCACCAGCACTGCGAAACAGAGACTCTAATACTCTGATGTGCAAAATTCTGATCAAGCTGTAAAGAACTCTCAATGGTAATATTCATCCTCTGATGTGAGAACCTGTGAAGCGTTACAATTCCATCAATGCAAGATCATAAGTAACAGCTTTAAATAGATAAGGATCTCTTGTTTTGGATATCTCATTAACTCGTGTTATGGACTTACCAAAAGTATCTTCTTATGTCTCTATTGCAAGGCCTATATAAAGCAGACTAGAAGAAGATTTCAAAATAATGAACAACTGCGCTCATAAAGAAAAACTCACGTGAAAAAGTAAACAACGCAGCTTTCATTCTTCATCTTCAAAGATTCAATATTAAACTGCGTAATGCATCACGAGTTTGTGATATTGTTTATTTAGAAACATCATTGTACACTTTTATTCAATTAATTGTTTAGTGAAATTCCTTGAGAAAATCGGGTTGTGGTTTTGGACTCAAGAAGACTTTAACAACTGTTAAAGTAGAATTGTAATCAGGTTGATTAGTGAATTAAGTCCTCGTTGGAGAGAGGCGAAATCACCTTGGCCAGGGGACTGGAGTAGTTTGAGATCAAACGAACCAGGATAAAAATAAACGTGTTCCTTACTCCATTGTTTTTTTAGTTTCAATTCAACCCCCCCTTCTTGTGTTTTTCACTTCCTCAGTTAGGATATGTGTTTTTTCTTAGTCATGCCAACCTAGTTCATTCCTTCGAATCTGCCTTCTTTTCCAGCTTCAAAGTCCAATTAGAATCTATTCAGAACATTCCCTATTAGACAACTTCTACCAGCCCTTGGTCTTGTGATGAGTCCAAGTTCTGATTCGAAGTGTTCAGAACTTCCTCCATCAGAGCATCTTAGATTAAGACAAACTCTACATTGAAATTCCATTCAAAGGTCATTTCATTTTGATGTTCTGATTGAAGGAAACTCTGAAGTTCCAGTCAAAGGACCTTGTTGAAATGCCATTCCAAGAGCCTTTGTCCATACCAATTGAAGGCCTTGTTGAAATTCCAATCGAAGAGCCTTTGTCTATACCAATCGAAGGCCTTATTGAAATGTCAATCGAAGGATCTTGTTACAAGGACAATTGAAAGGCTTTGTTGAAATGCCAACCGAAGGGTACTTATT